GTATGTCATTGATTCCATTTAACCAATTCTAGCTCTCATCTATATCTTTTTCCTTTTATGAATAAACCTTTAGATTTTAGATTCTAAAGGATTGGCAACAGCGTGATTTGTGGGTAAGATCTGATTTGTATATTGACCTGGGTCTGGGGCTTGGTCCTTTGGGATTGGTAGAACTTTTTTTCTTTTACTGGGGTATTGGTTTTCATAACCATTTGTCCCCATAACGAGTGTCACTGGTGGTGTTATTGGGTAACTGGAGTGTCTGAGGGAATTGCTGGTGTGACTTGTGGTTAGCCAGTGGGGTGAGACCAAAGTCCTCTTAGTCTGGCTGGTTTGGTTTGCCTTAGAGGTGAAAACCCCCCAGCCTTGGGCTGTGACTGCCCTGTTTTAAGCAATTTGTCCTGAAGTGGCACTCTCCGTTGGGTCCCGCCAGAACCGCATCGTCACAGCAGACTAACACGGCTACTACTCTGAAATCTGAGGAGCACAACAGTGTATGTAGCACAGCCGAAAAGGGGGGGGGTGGGGAAGGAGAAGTAGATCCGAGTCCTGCAGCCAGGCTACTCATCCCCACACTGCACCCTGAGTCTCCCCCTCAGAGCTGCTCTCTCAGGCGCCGAACGCCGCCCTCGCTGCAAAAAGCCTGATGCACAAAAGCCCAGCAAGAAAGTGATATTGTCTTAGGCTCTGCCACCCCCTGATGGTGGTAAAATGCAGCCAAGATCAGCTAGACATGGGGCAGAGATCTCCAGGAAGAAATACAGACAGATGTTTTGCTGCCATGGGGTTGATGTACATCCACAAATGAGGACATCCAAACCAGTGCAACCTCCTGCTCCCGTTTATTCAGGCTACCGTGACCAGAGCGCAGTATCTCATCTAATGCACCAGACAGCTCCCTGTCAGAGCTTTAAGAATCTACAGGATGAAAGTCACCCCTTATGTAGAGGGGCAGCTCCTCGCCCTGCACCCCACACCAGAGCTGTGCACAGGGACTCCACACACTGAACAAAAAGAGTTGCCTTGCTCAAAGCCAGCCCTACTGATAATCAGTCTGCTCACTGCCGCCTTCCTGCAGAGCTCTTCATTCCATCCCCCCACGTCTGGCAGCATCGCCCTCCTCAGGCCGGTTGGGATTTGTACAGCGGGCACGCTCAGCTAGAACCTCTCTCACACATGGAAAGCAAAACCACCAACCCAGCCTGTCGCACACCAAGCGACCGAACAGAGGCGCCTGTTCATTCTTTCTGCTAAATCAACTGAAGAACATGGCTGCAGCCATTGCGCCCCGGGGATGTCACTTTGTGAAAACTGGAACAATTGATGCATCTAGTGGCTGGATGAGAATTACCATTTGTACATTATGGGGCAGATTAACTCCAGAGAAGTGAGTATAGTTAGGTCTGTGGATTCAGACGGTTCTAACTGAAATCAATGTATATATAGTCCTTAATGTAGTTATTCTGCAGCGAGCAAAGTCTAGGAACACGCCACCGGTCATGTATCAGACAAGGATGTGCAGAATCAGTGTGCGGGAAAATTGCTACTTATTGGTACAGTTTAACCCCTGGATGAAGGCGTTAGAGGGGTTCGTTTCTTAGCGTTAGAACTGAATGCAAACCAGGTGGGGAGAGGATGCAGAGCAGCCACTCCAAACGCTCCCCGCAGGAAAGCACTTTTTTGAAGCCCTGGCACTCAAGGTCCAATTGAGCTCTGTGTAGAGAGGCTTAAGGGGAACTCTTAAGTGGTGCATAAGCTTTGTGCCGACAATCTGCACCGGGTTGCATTTCACCCATACCGAAGAGCTTCAAGGTGGGTGCAGGACTGATATGATCTTAAATCAAAGGTTCTCTGTCAAACGTGGAGAGTGCATCTAGTGGGGTGCAGTAGTCCTGGGTCCAGTATTAATAGAGTTTTTCATTAAATGACTTGGCTAATGGAGTGGAGAGCATGCTTCTAAAATGTACAGATGACCCCAAGCTGGGAGGGTTGCGAGCACTTTGGAGGGCAGGATTAGAATTCAAAATCACCTTGACAAACTGGAGAATTGGTCTGAGACCAGCAAGATGAAATTCAACAAAGACAAATGCCAAGTACTACACTTAGGAAGGAAAAATCAAATACAAAGCTACAAAATGGGGAATAACAGGCTAGGTGGTCGTACTGTACTGCTGATCTGGGATTATAGCGGAGCACAAATTGAACGAGAGTCAGTATGATGGAGTTGCGATAAAGGCCAATATCATTCTGGGATGTATTAACAGGCGTGTCGTATGTAAGACATGGGAGGTCAGTGTCCTGCTCTACTCAGCACTGGGGAGGTCCAAGCAGGAGTCCTGTGCCCAGTTCTGGACACTGCACTTTAAGATGTGGGGAAATTGGAGAGAGTTCAGAGGAGAGCAAAAATGGTAAAAGGTTTAGAAATCCTGACCTGTGAGGAAAAGTTAAAAAAGGGGCATGTCTAATCTTGAGAAGAGACAACTAAGGGAGGGACCTGAGAATGGTCTCAAACATGTAAAGAGCTGCTGTAAAGAGATATACCTATCTCATAGCACTGGAAGGGACCTTGAAAGGTCATTGAGTTGAGTCCAGTCCCCTGCCTTCACAGCAGGACCAAGTACTGTCCCTGACAGATTTTTGCCCCAATCCCTAAATGGGCCCTTCAAGGATTGAACTCACAACCCTGGGTTTAGCAGGTTAATGCTCAAACCACTGAGCTATCCCTCCCTCCAAAGAGCACAGTGATCAGTTGTTCTCCAGGTTCACTGAAGGCTGGACAAGAAATGGGCTTAACCCGCAGCCAGGGAGATTAAGGTTAGATAGTAGGAGAGGTTTCTAACCCTAAGGGTGATTAAACTCTTGAACAGGCTTCCAAGGGAGGCTGTGGAACCCCTATCCACTGGAGGTTTTTAAGACCAGGTTGGACAAACACCTGTCAGGGATGGTCTCGGTTTACTTGGTCCTGCCTCAGCTCAGGGGTTGGACTTGATGACATCTCGAGTTCCCTTCCAGCCCTACATGTCTGTGATTCAGCACACCCAGAAGCACACTGTGATGGATTGGATCACAGAAACCCCCTTGGGAGCTGCCATCCGATGTGCCAAGACTACTTCTATCCCTGTTTTCCTTGCCAGCTCAGGACTCCAGCACCCTGTCTTGCTGAGCCAGACACTCCCGTCTGCTCCAACAAAGACCCAGGGTCTGAATTACTTGCCCCAAAGCTGCAGGTTTACCTGAAAACAGCTCACAGAAGTGTGCTTGTCTTTAGCACTCAGATGCCCAACTCCCAATGGGGTCTAAACCCAAATAAATCCGTTTTACCCTGTATAAAGCTTACACAGGGTAAACTCATCAATTGTTCGCCCTCTATAACACTGATAGAGAGATATGCACAGTTGTTTGCTGCCCCAGGTATTAACACATACTCTGAGTTAATAAGTAAAAAGTGATTTTATTAAATACAGAAAGTAGGATTTAAGTGGTTCCAAGTAGTAACAGACAGAACAAAGTAAGTCACCCAGCAAAATAAAATAAAATGCACAAATCTGTCTAATCAAACTAGATACAGATAATCTCACCCTCAGAGGTGCTTCAGCAAGTTTTTTCCTCAGACTGGACACCTTCCAGGCCTGGGCACAATTCTTTCCCCTGGTACAGCTCTTGTTCCAGCTCAGGTGGTAGCTAGGGGATTCTTCATGATGGCTCCTCTCCTCCCCTTTTGTTCTGTTCCACCCCTTTATAGATCTTTTGCATAAGGTGGGAACCCTTTGTCCCTCTGGGTTTCCACCCCCCCACACACACTGGAAAAGCACCAGGTTAAAGATGGATTCCAGTTCAGGTGACATGATCACATGTCACTGTAAGACTTCGTTACTCACTTGCCAACACACACATATACAGGAAGACTCACAGGTAAATACAGCCATCTGCAGACAATGGTCCTGGTTAATGGGGTCATCAAAATTCCAAACCACCATTAATGGCCCACACTTTGCATAATTACAATAGGCCCTCAGAGTTATGTTTTATATTTCTAGTTTCAGATACAAGAGTGGTAATATTTATACAAATAGGATGATCACACTCAGTAGATTATAAGCTTTGTAATTATACCTTACAAGAGACCTTTTGCATGAAGCATATTCCAGTTACATTATATTCACGTATGTTTTTATAAAACCATATAGACTGCACAACGTCACACACACAGTTACACAGCATGTCCTAATATTTAAAAAGTAGAATAAACTGAAATTGTCAAGCACAAATTCTGTTCTCAGGCACTCAGATTAAGACAATGCAGTGGCAGTGAGTGGTACAACAGAGCGCTATTGACCCATTAACTAAATCCACTAGCGATTAAATCAGTATCCTACACAATGTCCCTTCCACGGAAGGGAGCAATCCAGTTGTAGACCCTGATCCTACAAAAGTGTATATATGGGAGCAAGTGTTCCCATGAACCCAATGAGATGGCTCACAGAGTCGGTGTTACTCACACGTTTTTGCAGGATTCAGGTCTGTAGGGGCTTTGGCCAGGGCTCGTCCCCCTCCGGGGCGGTGGGGAACCAGACCGCCTAGCTACTTCGGTCAGCTGTGTTGGGGAACTAGCCTGGCTGCGGGGCAAACAGTCAGTACCTCAGGCCCTCAAGCAGGGGCTGAGCAAACGGTTGAACAGCAAACCCCAGGCTCCTAGCGGCCTGGGAGAGAGGGAGACAGCCACCTGCGAGGTGGGTGGGGGGGGGGACGCAGGCCCACCCGCGAGGTGGGTGGCGGGGGGGGGACGCGAGGCCCACTCGCGAGGTGGGTGGCGGGGGGGGGGGACGCAGGCCCACCCACTCCACTGCGTCCCAGCCCGGGGCCCTAGCAGCGGCAGAAGACCCGCTGGTGTGTCAGTGGGGATCCCGACCGCAACACACGGACATTGGCTCTGGGTGTGCTGCTGCTAGACTGGGGTCGGCTGCCCACAGGCTACTTCCTACCTCCCCCTCTAGAGGTACCTGGGTCCGGACGGAGTCCTCCAAGGGGTCGCACACCATGGGCTCCTCGGGGTAACTGGTGCACGGTTGGCTTGGCTGCATCTCTGGGCTCGGGCTAGCATCAGGCATTGGCAGGTCCGGCCAGTCCTCAGGTCGGCCGCCGATTGCTGTAGTCTCCCAACTGGGAGTTACGCCAGAGGCGTCTGGCCTCTCCGATGGCTGTGTTCCAAGTGAACTCTGGGGCCGGGCTTTTATACTTCCTGCCCTGTGCCCTGACCTCTGAGGGGCGGGCGCAGGGTTCGCTGGCTCTGTCCACTTTGGTGTCCAGAGAGGCTCGTCCCTCTCTGGGGCGGCGGGGAACCAGACCGCCTCCCTACAGGGTCATTGTTTAATAAAAACTTGTAGAAGTCCAATTAGGGTCATTTAGGACTTGTCTATACAGGGAAATTGACTTGCATAGATAAAGTGGAATAATTATTGGAAGTGGAGTAATTATTCTGGAATAGAGTGTCCACACAGGGGGGTTATACCAGCATAGCTATAGCAACATTATTCTGCTAATAATAGCTACATTGCCCCAAGGGGCCAGCTTCCCCCTGTGCACAAGCCCTTAGCAAAACATAAGCAGAGTTCCAATATATTTTGTTCTGTTTCCAGGACTTTTAACAGAAGGTACCTTTTGGAAGCATAAAGAAAATGTAAATAAGCACCCATGGGTGCATATAGGCTTTACAACTGTGATCGTGGGCGTGAGAGGTTTCAGCTGGGTGAAATTGCAGGATCATACCATGCCACAATTAATACGGTCTCCAACAAAGAATTCGATCCTCAAGACATCACCACGCTCGTGTTATTTTCAGCACCACCCTCCCAAGCAGACGACGCTTGGACCATAAAGAATCACTACACATTTTGCTGCCACTGATATTTGATTGCCTTCAGCAGCCATTTGCTCTGCCTCCAAGATAAGAGGCAGCCGAGCTTCAAGGAGTTTGGGTACTTTGAGTAGAATCTTCCCAACATCAAAGTCCTAGTAGAGTTTTTAGTGAGACTAGCAGCTGAGCTAAAATATTTAATGTGCCTAGGACCACTACCTAGGATCAAAGAGACAGCTGTCTGCAGGGAGCTACAGTTTAGCAGTCACTTAATTGCATGACCATAGAGCTGAACTAAACAGTTCCATCAGTAGAATTTCCTGAAACTTTTATTCATGGGAGATATTATCTCTGGAGATTACTTGAATCCCAGCAGAATTTCTTTCAGAAGTTCTGACTTTTCTGCCAGCCATATAAACTTACCTAGACATGGACAAGATCTTGAGGTTCCTCTGAGCCTGTGCAACAGCACAGAATAAATATGCTCATAAAACAAGAGGGTTCAAGACTTCTCAGACATGGAAATCAAGAGCTTTTCTACCAGCCTGGGAGTCCAAAATAGAGAGCCGTGTTCCCAGATCTTTGAAGTACATGTTTAGAGCCACTGTTATAGCTTGTATGATTTTCTTGCTGAAGTCATAGCTAAGAAGGGACCATCTGTGTGGTGGGTACAGAGGCCATGTTTATCAAGTTCTCTGCACAAGAATTTGGCTGATGCCAGAAGACAGACTAATTCCACCCAGGTGTGGACTCCAAAACGCCAACCAACTGTAAATCATTCTCTCCTGTTGCTGCATTTCAGATACTCCTTACCTTTGAATGGCTTGTCCGTTAGCACTAATTTTTCCATGCGTCTCTAACACGGTACCCTTGAGAGTCAGCATTTAAGAAGCTTGTGATTATGTACACCGGGGTCAGCAACCTTTGGCACGCGGCTCGCCAAGGTAAGGACCCTGGCGGGCCAGGCTGGTTTGTTTACCGGCCGCGTCCACAGGTTCAGCCAATCGCGGCTCCCACTGGCTGCGGTTTGCCGCTCCAGGCCAATGGGGGCTGCAGGAAGTGGCGGCCAGCACATCTCTCGGCCTGCGCCACTTCCCGCCGCCCCCATTGGCCTGGAGCGGCGAACCGCGGCCAGTGGGAGCCATGATCGCCCGAACCTGCAGGCACGGCAGGTAAACAAACCGGCCCGGCCCGCCAGGGGCTTTCCCTGAACAACCAGCGGCCTGACTTTGAGAAGCACCGATCTAGGGAGCAATAGATCAGATGACCTATCAGAACTTTTCATTTCTAACATCTGGTTTCCAGGAGGATACCAATTAACAGCCAACGAATTGACTAGACCTAAAATTAAGAATGTTCAGGAGATTAGATAATCAAGCTCAAGCAAATGTATTGTCTAAAGACAAAGTAATACAGTACAGGAAAGAGTTAATACCTCACCAATCCTTCCCAGGAAGCAAAGTCAGGCAGCATTTTCAGTTCACCCAGAAGCTGTGCTTCCCAAATGACTCCAATCTTTTATAGCATGGCTGGTTACAAGTAGCAGAGCACTGTTCACACACACAACGTTTAAGTGCAACTAGCCAGCTTTGACTCTGGTGGAGCTGTACTTTCCCATCTTTTGTTTTGAATATTAAATTCCAAATGTTAGGGGGCATGAAGGTACTGCCTAATGCAAAGCATTCATACAGCTTCCATGATTTCCTTACGCCACATTGCTCCTATGTTTAGAACATTCGTCCATCCAGCTTTGGATAGTATGTGTATTCGCCTAAACCATACGTGTCCCAGAGCACTGTGGGACATATGCCTTAGCATAAGCGAGCAAGAATAATAGAGTTTAGCATGATCACCCAACACACACACATAAATCAAATATTAATACCATGCACATAACTATTAATGTGGTGCATGTATATATGTATGACCTATATGCACTGGACAATGAAGAACAGCAGATGGAATTAATTACTAATACACAAATCTTATGTGGGGGTGGAGAGCAGTATGAATTCTCAAATAGGGAACCGAATCCTGCAGTGGGGTGAAATGAACACAGCAAGCATGCTAAGAAGAATGATTTATTAACAGAGTAACCAAAGGAAACTAATAGAATAATAACTACAATCCCAAACCCTCCCTGAAACTTATCACTCAAGACAGATTTGATTTGAAAAATAGTAAATCCAAGTAACAAGGAGACTATCAGATCTACGGCCGTTCTTTAGCGGAAATTCCATAGCAGATGTGGCAATTTTTCCCCAGAGTAAAAAGCTTGAATCAAAATTTTGGAAAAAGGAACATGAATTAAGCCTCCTCATTTGTGCCACTCTTTCTTCTCTCTCCTCGGTGTCAGAGGTGAGTCAGCACCACACTCGCCTGGTACATCACCCTTTATGGAGTTTTTTATGGCACACAAGACAGTGCTAGAACAACAAAGGAGAAATTCTCAGCTCATTTCCAAAGGATGGATTCTTTCACCCAATAAGTTCGGTCCTAGCTGTTCAAGGAAGAGGGTTGCCCTGTTATGGATTTTGTATCAGAGCAATGTGGTGAGAGAGTTGGAAACATTTAATCTGACTAGGGTCAGACGTGACTATTGGAAACAAAGCAATCAGAGAGCTAAGAATTCCGTGATTTTTATTAAAAGACTTAAGGAGAATAAAATGTTCTTTATACCAAGTAAGCACCCTGCACAGGCCTGGAATTCCAAAGCACTTTACAAAACTGAATTGGCAGTGCATACCACAGCTTTTAAAGGAAATGCAGCCGTCACCAAGCCATGTCTACTCAGCCAAAGAGGCTGATTTTTTCAGTTGTGTTAGCTTAATACAATCGAAGAGCCCTCTTAACATCCATACCAATGCAAGCTAGCACTTTTGAAGTCACATTAGGTGCTCATTTAGTACCCTATGTGTGAATCTACATTATGACACAGCCCACTAACATGCCTTTTAAGAGGTTACCCTGCATGTTCATGGGTGTTATGGCCACTCAGGAAATCAGCATTTCCAAGCTGTGGTTTCCAGGCATGCAATTTTCTGTTCTCTGTCAGATCCACAAGCAAGTGGTAGATTTCACATACAAAGTACACGGTGTGAAAAGTCTCTCTCTCGCTTGTATTTTCATGCAGAAAGCAGCAGGTAAAATGCACCGCACATGCAAAGCTGGCTGGGTTGAGATCCCTTTAAAATATGGCTGCTACAATTTGTAGCCTCTCTCTACGGACAATAAGAGCCACACTGGCATGTGAAATCATTTGGGAATTCTCCCAGTGCAAAAATGCCCAGGGCCAGCCCCACTATAGCTTAGGGGCAGGCGATGGCTTCCTACCAGATACGAGAGCTGCAAATTTTCAAGTGTACGTTTTTTGTAACCTGATTTTTTTCTTTTTAAAGAAACCTCCCCATTGCAGATGCTGCAGAGACGTAGCAAGGGGCAGTGATATGGGGCCGAAGGAACAGATTTCACCCCTTTCAGAAACCTTACCTTAGAAGGGTGGCAATGAGCAAAGCTGGGCTTCAGTCCTGGTGCTCTAAATATTGGGATTTTTGCTAAGTGGAGGTAAACTGAAACAAACACACACATCTCAGCACTCACAGCCTGCAGGGAGCCAGATGTAGAATTTCATGTATCTGCCAAGTTTAATCATCATAGCATTGAGCACGGGGAGACGATATAATGGTTGGGTGGGAGTGATCAGCAAAGCTCAATGGTGCATGGAACAGGACTTTCAGGTTTGCAGGGGCCATATGCCTTTATAGTGCTATAGATAATGTTAGACAACTAGAGACAGGTGCCCTTTGCTTGGTTCTCAGCCAGATCAGATTGGTGACCACCCACGCTACGAGGAGGTGAACCTGCTGGGAAACCTGGCACATTTTCCTTTGGGCTCATGGGGTTCTCAAGGTGAATTCGGGCTTCATCCTACTAGGCTCCCTGTGCTGGCTTCACTGGGAGATCCAGGTGGGCAGAGAGCTCGCGGGATCAGGGGCCCAGAGATGCATCACATTTGCCTTGTCATTCAAATCTATCCCATACAACACCAAGGTGGGTTAGAGATTTTGGTATTCTAGTTGAAGGATACCTAGGACTCTGTTAGGGAAAGAAGAACTCAAGCCCACAGCAGAAAGGAAGCTAGGCTGGTACAGGTGAGTGTCCTCCATCCAGGGCACGGGGACGTGTGGCCTCCAGCCAGTACATGTATTTAGACACTGTACCTGGGTTTTTCAATTCAGTTTTTCTACCTCCCTGATTGGGCTCCATTTTTCACCCTATTTTCTCGTTTTTTCCCATCCTGCCCTTTTTCACAGCACCTCAGTGAAACATGAACTCTATTTCTGCAAACGGGCCCAGCCAGACCCCAACACTGCATCTGAACAACCCCCAGCCTCAGTTGTTTGACATCCAGACCCCGGTGCCAGGGTTGTGAGTTTAGCCCATCTCCACCAGTAATGAACTAGGCAAGGGGACTTTGCCCATCCCTCTCTTGCACACTGGGTTGATTGGAACCTAAGTGTGACAAGTGAGCCACAAGGAAAACCCAGCACATCTTTTCCACTTGCTCCCATGGGCTTTCTTCAAAACCAGGCAATTTGGGACATGGCTTTGCATCTCTGCTGTGGGACCACTTCACTGCTGCAGATCTGGGCAGAAAGCAACCTGCCTGCCTAGCACATGGAAGATGCGAGCAGTGGTCCAGTGTTTGTACAGGGATTATGGCTCTCCAGAAGCACCTAGAGCTCCAGTGCCCAGAGGCAGATAAGGAGGCTGCCTCTCAAAGGCACAAAATCAGAGAAGTTACTAATCATCATGAACACTCTAACTAGGGTTTTGTGGTGAGTGAACGTACCAGGATATAACTCCAGGGCGGTTAGTGAACTCGTATATGGTTTGCAAACTCCAACGAGCTTGGAGGACAAAAAACCTTGTAAACACCACCCCCATCCTTAGAAGGAAGCAGATCAAGAGGGGATTTGAAGAGCCAGTTTCTAGGCCCAAATTAAAGAGGCACTCATGTGTGTTCCTGATTTGGTGCATGCATCTGGGCTTACACAAATAGAATCAGGCGTGCGCCGAAGTGAACTTTGGAAAGTTGGGGCCTCAGTGTTCTGTACCATACGCACCCCATTATTAAATATTGATACTGCAGTAGCACCCAAAGGACACAACCAGGCCCAGGTGCCAAGCAGTGTACAAACATGTAATAAGTGATACTCCCTGCCCCAAGACTTGCAGCTAAAAGATCAAACGCAACCGGTGGATATGATAAACAGACAGGCCGAGACAGGACCTATGTGGAGGAGGGGAGGGGACAGCGTCCAGAATTCATGCACAAACGCAGTAAGCAGCCCATTCCGCTGCAGTTACTTTTTCAGTGCTTGGGTTTCTGTCGGGCGGAGGAAGCCATTTGGGAGAGGAAAGCTTTAGAGGGCATTTCAGTAAGCAGCATGATTGCAGGAGCTTTTACATTTCTCAAGTGGCTTTCCTGTGCGACTTTGGGCTCGCTCTCTCTCTGACAGCCCTGTAAAAGGGAATTCCCAAGATGGTGGGCAAGTGAGAAGGGAATTTCACTCCCATAAATGCCCTTTTTTTTAAAAAGGGTCTCCATTTCGTAAATCCTTTTCTTACGGTCACTACCTCATGAAGGCAGCAGCACGTGTCCTACCTACCTACCTTAGGAAGACAGGGAGTGCCTTTTGCGATCACTTAACCACAGCACACAGAGATGTAGACTATGTACTTGGCAGACAAGAAATCACTTAAGAAAACATCTAACTGGACTTACAGTTGATCTCCTTTAGTATAATTTTCGTGATGAAGGCTCTCAAAGGCACCTGAAGACGTACAATCTGAAACATAGAGATGACTTAGTAAGTACATCAACAATGTGCAACATCTACAGACGTCACCCAAACGATCTAGCAGCAACTGGATTTCAGCTGGGCCTGGAAGAACATCTATTTTTGTTTTCTAAGAGAGCAGTTACCAGATCCATTTAGGCTTCTGTGAGCACTTCAGATCCATGCTCCTGTCCCTCCACTGGCTCCCATCAGTTTCAGATGCCAGTTTAAAGGCCTCAGTCCTAACCTTCAAAGCAACTAATGGATCAAGCCCCAGCTCCGTTACAGACCAAATTCCCATCTACAAACCACAAAGACATTTGCACCCAACTGGGACAATGGAGATGACAAAGATCAAGTCAAAGCACGAGAGAGCTGGGGACAGGGCCTGGGTCAAGAAGTTCCACTTGTGGAATAAGTTCCCAGAGATGAAGCTAATCCAGAATGATCCTCACAGCAGAATGACACTCTCAGCACTGACCACCCTCTTCTACCCAAACACCTACCCCCAGCAGAGTCTTTACCCCAAAAAGCAAGAAGGGCCAGTGACTCCAGGAAGTCACCTAGAGACTTTGCTATTGCTGTTAATTTTACATGAAAGGTGCTCCGATACCATGGTGACAGGCAGCAGGATAAAGTGCTAAGACAGTGATCCATTGATCAATGGCCATGCTGGGTTTGTACATTTTTCAAAGGAGAAAGAATCATTTGATGAGTGGGAACAGCAACGTCTTGTCCAGTGTTCTAATACCCATCCTCCGCAGCCAGGGCCAATATCCTATATATATATATATATATATATATATATACACACACACACACACACACACACACACACACACACACTACTACCTACTACTACTACT